TATATATATATATATATATATATATATATATATATATATACACGTACAATATTGTAATAATAATTAAAATTTTATCCAGTAACCATTCGGTGCATCGCTGATTTGTTCATTCCTTACATCTGGGCACATGCACGTAATTACATAATGTCTTTCTTTCTTTCATCTCGTGCTTTTGCGTTGTCATGAGAATCCAGTTTTATCGTGAATTCAGTGTGACTGCAAGTCTCTCGAGTAAGAGTTAAGTTTCATCTTTCTACTATTAAAAAAAAAAATGTAGCTTTCCTTTTCATTTAAGATGTAATGTACACGTTTCCTTCTAATAATATCTCTTGCTGTTTTTTTAAATAATTTAGAGTAATAATTAATATATATTAGGAATATATCATATCTCTCAATATAGTAGATTGCCAATCTAGATTGTTGTTAATAATCGAGATTGTAACTCTTGTTATTAGCGATGTTATCCTGCGAATCCGTCTGTTCAAAATTGTATTTGGTTCCGACGGGTGATCGTCACCTTCACCGTTCCTGAAAAAAAAAATGCCATTTTTGTAAGACAAAATGTAACTTATTACTCTCTTCGACATGTAATACGAGTGAATTGTTCTGATGCAAATAAATAGATGTTGTTAAAGCAAAAGATATATAGATATTTAAAATACAACTTATTAAAAAAAGCCTTATACATAAAAGCAAAACATGTATTGTAAAAGAGTATAACTCATAATAACAAAGCAGCAATAGTCACAGTCGACGTGAGAAAGAGTGAGAACAACACTATGTTCTCCAACGTCAACTTGACGAAATGATATCATTTGTATCTTATTGATCCGAGTGCGGTAATAAGCATGAAAAAATGTACGGTAGGTATCGTGTAAAAAAAATTTGAAAAAAATGTGCAAAGAATACATTCAGTATCATTATGACGAAATATCTGCAAGGAGACGTTTCAGAATTGTTTCTCTCCAATTTTCAAATGATTAATGTCAAAGACGTATATTTTTTATGAACGGAAAAGAAATTGACATTGCTCACAAGAAAACTGGACAGGAATAGTCCTGAACATTTCCTTATTGATTGAGAATATTATCCCGTGCGCGTTGCTGTTTAAGCGTATGATGCAACAATAAAATACATGTGCAGTGAAAAGATATCTTTCCTACTTTCTTTCGTAAGAAAGCTTTTAGCTTTTCATAAAACAAATTTCTATCGGAACGCTTATTAGAATAATAACTTCGAGGGCATCGTAATGGGTTCGAAAGATGTATAATTATTTATAAATTTATGGAAGTAGGAATCACTTTCCAGCACGTTATTATACAAAACCGAAAACGATAAATATCAAGAAAGGTGAATCAACGCACGTGAAAAAGCTCCTATCGTACAAAGACACTGTGTTCTGTGTAGTATCTTATATTTAAGTTCTGTACCTTATATCATACTGTCTTCCATAGGTTTCGCTTTTAAGGGGAGACAAGAATGTGTCAAAATCGTGTTACATTTTATTCTTCATAAGCAAAATGAAAGCAGAAAGTAACTAAATTTTAAGCGATGTACTGAGCGCGAACATTGAATTTTTCTCCCTCTCTCTCTTTTTCTCTCTCTTTCTCTCAATGCACATTAATTTTTCATACCTTCTCTGATATCCTTGGGCACGTTTGATGAAAGCGATGACATGGAAGGTGCCTGATAGAGATTGGGTCGTACGCTTGGTGGTAAAGATGTTACTTTGGACCTAAACGAATTACGCAAGAATTATTATAAATTTACCGAGAAAGGGAAAATGATGTTTTTAACAAGAAAAATAAAAAAGTTCTAAAAGTTCTACCTCTGTTTGCGAATTTTCTGATTTCTGCCATCAAAGGAAGTCGGTGTACCAGCCCCCGAAGCATTAGACGAAGGTGGCCTGTACGGTCGTGGACAACCTTGAACAACAGGCGGTGATGATACTGGTGCGTATTGCAATCGGGGGTTGGATGGTACGCCTGGATGCATCAATCGCATGTCTCCTGTAGCATTCAAGGATGTATTAATAACCGAGCGATTTGGAACCGAAATATACAGAAATAGACCGAAATATACGCTACATTTGAAAATGTTACCTTGTACGATATGGACACCCTGATACATTGGCAGTGGGTAACGTGATTGAGGTTGTGCGCTTCTATCCCCGCTCCCACCTCCGAAGAGCTCGTGCGCCGGAGTCGGAGATCGACTGGCTCTTTGAGAGTTACCTGGCGTTGTTGCCCGCACGCCGGGAACAACCTGTTTGAAACAACAAGAAAACATCTTTTATCATCGAGAATTTAATGACGGCAACTAATGACAGTTATATAACATAGTTATTCTTACAGGAACGTTTTGTCTGAAGACGAGATTGGGAACCAGCGTGGGTGCCATGTATGCGGCAGGCGGTGCCGGAGATGTGCCGTTGTGAGTGACCTGGTGTCCAAACGTTCCACTGGTCACCATCGCCGGGGCCGCATAGCTGCTCGAATTGACATACATCAACGGCATACCAGGTATCTATTAATTACATCAAATACAATGCGTTAATTAATTTTAGTGATGCAACTTTTATTAACTTTTAGTAACAATAAATTAATAAATACCTGACTAGACGTCGGCGTATTTGGTGGCGTAGGTACTCTGTACATCACAGGCGGTGGTTGCATTGTCGGTTGTCCCGGCGGATAGTACGTAGGAACCATTTGGACTGGAGGTTGATACGTATAATCGCTCGGTGTTGGGGTTACTGCCGGCATCGAATTATAAGGTACCGGGTAACTACCCACATAATTAGCTGAAATATATTAATGATTATTGTAAATATTGCAGAGAAAAATAAAAATATAATAATCGTATTCGACGTAACGTACAACTTGCTTGGCTCGGAGGCGTCATCGTTTGCGCATTAAAAGAGTAATTCGGGAATCTCTGTTGTTGATGTAGCTGCTGCCTGTCACCTGGATTTTGACCAACGGAGATCGTCGTTCCAGGTGGAGGCACAAAATACATAGTCTGTTGGGGCTAAAAGGATTTATTTCTCACTAAACAAAGATATAAACAGCAATCAAACAATAAACTGATAATATTTTTTCTTTCCATACCGGTATCTGATTCGGCGGTGGTTGCCAATAATTTGGTTGTACTGTCTGCATGTTCTGTACAGTCTGATTTGTAGAGGGTGGCGGAGGCGGATACGTAGAATGCGGAGGCGTGGAATGGCTGTCTCCGCTACCACGCTGATCGTAAATGTTCATTCCTAAGAAATATCCGGACAACTCGGCCATATCCTAAATATCAATTATTACAAATGAATTTTTTGAAAAGCGATTATAAAAAACTTACAATTTTACACTTTTTTATTTATAGTATAATACATCTATCACTTATGTCAACTTGTTAAACTCGTCAGTCAACGTTAGATAAATAGTAGATAGTATAGTGCGTTCCAAAATTATATAATTCTTATTTATGTTTAGCTTATTTAGTTTACGTTATACTCTCGCTCTTTAATCTTTAATATATTATCTCTAATCTTTAATATATTATCAGAAGCGAATTACACTTACCCCTGACTGTGGTATTGGTCCTTGATGCATAGGTACCGCGTAATTGGTATAGACCTGATTCTGATTGAAAACAACGTCTCCCTGACCGCCATTTTGCATGCTCGCTTGACCCTGAGTCGGATGAGGCGCCATCATCACAGTCGGTTGCCCCATTGGGGGCGGATAGACACCCTGATACGGTTCTGAGGTAGGTACATAGGTCGCGTATGGTTGTTGAGCTGTTTGGTTAGTATGACTAAACATCTGTACTGTCGTTGACGATTTGACTAGATTTTGCTGCGGCTGCGGCTGCGGTTGCGGTTGCGGATGCAGCTGCAGTTGCTGTTGCTGTTGATGCGACTGCGCTTGTTGTTGCTGCTGTGCTTGTTGTTGCTGTTGCGGAATGGGTTGGTTCTGCGGAGCAGGAACAGAAGTAGGAGCAGGAGGAGGAGGAGGTGGTGGTGGTGGCGGAGTGAACGGCAGGCTCGGTGACGTTGCTGTATTCGTTACTTGAGTCCCGGACGTCGCGTTAATTCTTGACTGTGGCGACCTTTGTTTCTTGCTATCATTCTTGAGATTGTTGTTTGTCGTTTTGGACGGCTCGGAGGGCGATTCCGTGTGCTGTTTGTTAGCCACGGACGGCGTCGTGTTGCGGTTTTCGTTTTCAATGAAAAACTTTGGTGGATTGTCCGGGTCGTAGCGATAAATCGAGCCGTCTGGATTCGTATATGGCTGATTAGTTTGCGGGTTTATTATTATGCTGCCGGGCGGTACACTAGATAAACTAGTGACTGCCCACATGACTGTCTGGCCATTGCCCGACTCTGGTGAGACTAAATCCTGACTAGATACTTGAGTACACGTCATAGCGGCTGGCACGGGAGAGGGCGACGGAGATGGCGATATCGTCGCGTCACTGCGCTGGCTCTGCGATTTGTAGCCGCTGCTCGAGCGACTTGGACTCAGCCGTGAACACATACTAGCCCCCGAATCTACGACATGTTTATCACGCGATAATAAAATAAAGTAAAAGAAGACGATAATAATAACAAGCACACGATATCGCTCCGTAGTATTATTACATTGAACATTGATTGTCAGTATTTTTAATGTAATTCCGCATACAATTCTAAATTACCTTGTTTCATGAGGCGAGCTCCCGCGCTATGTGTGGACGTAACACTATCCCCCCTCGTCAACATGCCTTTGGTGTATCCACCGAAACTGAATGACTTAGAAACGGACGGGCGCAAGACCGTACCGCGGAACGAATCCCTTCCGTCAAAGGATTCGCCCTTCAGCAGTCGATTTTGCCTGGAGATGCACATACACATAACTATATTCTAAAGCAATGATTGTATTGATAAAAACACATCGATGAATATTTTATAATTAATGTTACGCGCATCGATCATTAAAAGATTTACCTGACTAGGTGATCCGGATGCAACAAACGAAATCTTGCAGAGACATCTGAACTCTCCGTCGAGGACCACGGCCAGGACGTGACTTCGCTACTTTCACCACTGCTGTCCTTGAATATCCTTCGTCTAGCACGTTCGTATTCCTCTTCCCGCTCTTCGAAGCTCTTGCTACGCCGGCAGCAATCGCCTCCTAGCCTGTCAGGCGATTTGAAATTAAAGCTATCCTCGAATGAACTTGAGTCCCGCTTCAAAATGCTCCTTCGCGGCTCCTCCGATAAAATCAGATCATCCCTGATGTGCTCCTTGAAACGAGTATCCGGTATTCGCATGTTCTTTGTCCGTGTAACAATGACACTCAAACCCGACTGATCCACATTGTGCTCCATGCCAAAATAAGCTGCCACTCGATGTACGAGCATTCTGTTGTACGACGACATATTTGGAAACTTGTGGGAGACCTTCTGTCGGTCTTTCGCGAACTCGATTAAATCCTTCTCAATTTTCAGCAACACCGTCCGATCCTTCTGATTGCGGTTTATAGTCTCCGCTATGAATTGTTCGAGATCTATCCCGGTGCTATCTGTGTACAGTTCCGTACTACTGTCTGTAAATGAACGTAAAATTTATAAAAAAATAACGAATTATAAATGAAAATTAAAAATAGAAGTTCCACGCGTGATTATAGAGTATTGTTTGAGATCATTGAATATGTTAAATCTAAACAATAATCAATATAAATAACAGACATTTTGATCTCATAATTAGATCATCTTCAATGTTAATATAAAATTACAACTGACAAAGATATAAGATTTTATATCTATTAATATTTATTGAAGAAAAATATAAAGACAAGGAAGGAATATTAAAAAAGTCAGTTGCGACGGAATTTCTAATACAAAAAAATTAGATGGAAAAAAAAATGAGAAACATATTTGTTTGAGTAACGTACCACGTGATAGACATGGTGATGCGCTGTCATAACTGCCTTGTGATGAATTTTGATGTCTCAGTTTGTGCCTAGATCCAGGTCTGCTTACTGAGAGTGTATTACCGCATTGTGCCGAACATTGATTGTTACAGATGTTCAATGTGTTCGGCCTGCGTTGTTCGGATTTGTGCTGATTGTTCTGACCACTCGGAGCGAGATTGGTGCTCTTTGGCGAATGCTGCAACGCTTGACCGGATCTGGTAGGTGATATTGGAGTCTGTAATAATCCTGGTCGCTCGTTCTGATTGTTCTTCACGCAATTATTGCATTTCTGAATGATATTCGCGCTAGCGAATTTGGAGCGATGGTTCTCCAATTTATTGCCATTGGTCGGAGAAGTGATGTTCTTTGGTGAATGTACCTGAGAAGGACTAGATTGACCTGCAGAATTCCCAAAAAATTAAAAATTTCTTTTTCTCTCTGAAACGCAGAAGGAAAGGAAAAGAATCACTGTTTCGCTTACCATTTCGCGACGGTGTCCGACAAGTCGGTGAGGTCGCCGTGTTGCGCATTTGTTTGGGAGATTGAGCGGAACAAAGATTGCTGTTGTACATGGACTCGTTATTGTTGAGCTTGGCGCCGGTGGAGTTGGGCGAGAGGCTGCACACGATCTTCTTCTCGCTGTCCGCCGATTGCGGACTATGCGGCGACGATGGACCGTGCGGTTCCCGCGGAGGGGAAGTCGACTCTCTCATGGCATGACTTCTAACTAACAGCTTCAATTTCGTGTTCGTCTGCAACGTCGAGAATCTTCTATGTACCCTCTGGATGGCACGTCACAATATCGCGATATTCGTACAGATGTAAGTTTTTAAATTTGTTTTCAATGTTCACATCACAAAAAAATAAATAAAATAAAAAAGGAAAAATGTTTTTGATAATCTCAATGTTTATCTTCGGAACTTATTGCTGATTTGACGATTTCTTTTAAACGTATCTTGAAGCTTCCATTGAAAAAAGACAATAGCAAGCGATTAATAGCACACATACCCGATTGCGAAAATTCTTGCTTTCAGTGTCCGATTTGTCGGACAGCGGGCAGGAGGACGCGGGACGGTGGATCGAGTTCGGTACGGGGGAGGTGCCGACGTTGGGGTTGGCATTCCCGTCTATCATATCCGACTCCGAGGCGTCCTGGTGAGGTGCACCACCACCGGAGCCACTTACGGCGAGGCCTTGCCTGGAGGATGGCAGTGAGGGCATTCCTCCTCGCACCACCACCGTGGGACTCTCAGGTCGATCTTGCGACCTGCTTCCTTTATATACCACTATACTCGGTACTGAAATCACCAAGGACACAATATAAAACGCGATTACATTATTCTTCCATCCGGTGGAAATTTATGCAAAACATTACACTTAATTAAGGAATATAATTACGTCATCTGTCCCGCTTCAATTAACTCTTGATTGTAAAACTGCAGGTACTCGGACTATTTTTATCAAGAAAAAAAAAATCAATCTCGAGTCGACCGAAGAATTTGCAGTAAAAAAGACACATCTCTCGATTGTTTCGACAAGCCAATGTTATACTTTATTTACGTATTACTTCATACTTCGCAATCTTTTATTAATTTCTTTGATCAGTGTTTTACATCAATTCAGTGCAGAATAAAGAATCTATAATCATGATATTCAAGCTGCAAGTGACATTTCCGTAGCGTTTTAAATTTACTTAAATAATAAGGGGATTTCTCTCATTTCCGACCCGTCCCGTCGCTCTTTCGTGCAGACGCGTACGTGTTACACGTGCGGCGTGTCGTGACAAATCCCGTGACAAATGAGTCGGCGTGAAAATGAAACGAAACAAAAGATTCGGCGGAAGAATGTCGCTCGGGCATTTCTGTGAAAGAGACACACTTACTCTCCAGGCGGGCCATGTGTTAAATGCGTCATGGGGTTTACAGTGCAGTAACACCCTGCAACTGGTGGGGGTTCAATACACACACATATACACACATACACACGCGCGCGCGCGCGCGCGCGCGGGTGCGACTAGTAGCAATTAGTATGTGAATCTTTCGAGTAACGTGCAGCACGAGGAGCTGATACTAGGTGCCAGATCACTGCACGTCCACTTCCGACATCGTATACTCGTAAGCAGACACAACAACGCTCGTGATGCTCTCATGCGAGAAACGCGAGAATCGTGGAATTTATTCCCCCTCCCCCCTCCCGCGGTCCTCTCTTACGAAAGGTAGACAAGATAAAAAAAAAAAAAAAAAAAAAAATAAAAGTGCGCACGCGAGAATAAATTCGTTCTACCTCCTCGAGCGGCGAGCTCGATCATTTCCTTCGGACACTTTTGTTCACATTTCACGGAATTTCATCGGGATGTCCACTCAACCTTGAAAAATAATTTCCTGAAACTCTTTTCATCACCCTGACGTTTTCGGAGCATTTTCAGATGCAAGTTCAAAATAAATTTTATTATCAACTGAAATTCTTATCAAAAAATCTCTCGCGTAATTTATATAGCTAGTTTCATGGTAAAAATGCGATACTTTGTTACTTGCAAAATAAAAACAAAGTTTTCGAAGGAACAATTTCAAGAAAGTCTCTCACGAATTTCAAATTTTTCGAGGTAATAAATCTTGTTAATGTACCGCATGTTATCGAATACGATAACAATACTGTATATTTTTACAATTTATTATCACATAATCTTCTAAAAGTAGTCACGCCACTGTTAAATAACTATAACCATGGTACGACATGGTTGTATTATCCATTCAAAAGTAAAGAATGGCAAAATTTCGTAATTTGTTATATAAAGATTTACGCAAAAGAGAAGTGATCATTACTAATTAGGAAACAAGCTACATTGTCATCTTGTATCTTTATGTAAACAACGTCCGATAATTATTACGTGGCAAAGGTAAATGTTGAGCTATGAATCACGAGCTTCTATAGGTCAGCGTTACACCATGAGTCACTTATTCGCGCGACATTATTGGATTATTAAATGATGGAGTCGCTTCGTAATGGAGCATATACAATGCAGATTGGAAAGTATTCATCGGCGTGTTATTACGCATCATCGTACATAACGAGATGTTATTACGAGGATGCAGCATTATCGTGATGCTTAATCGCGTTACAAAGCTAATCTAACCGTCGCGTAAACGAACGAATTTCACATTGGGCATAATTAAATCTTATTAATGCGCGACGCGCTGCCCCGCGTTGCGAGAATTTAATAAGCCGGCCGAGCGTGTGTGTACCCCAATATTTGTGGAATTAACTCGGAATTACCGAGTTGTAATAACTGTGCGCCCCGTAAATAGCACGATAAATATTTCGCGTGAACAAAGTAGTCAGTAGGCTGCGCGTATAATACAGGCGTCACGGCGCGCGTCACTCGCGATTATTAAGTATCGCAGAAAATTATCTATCACCCGATTAATAATTTACCTAAGTCGCGATTTAATAAATTTCAATGGAATTTTCATTTTCACAAATTTAAATTTATAGCCAGCAGAGAGAGAGAGAGAGCAATTTTAATCCCTTCCCGCGCGAGAAACGGACTAATGAAATTTCCGTTGGCTAATTAATTTTCGCAGCGACTCGATTTCGAAGCACTGATCGCGTAACGAAAGGATGAAAAGCGATGATCCGGTTCGATTTCGCGTAAATAGCAAAAGCAAAAGCCAGCAGATGATAATAATAATAATTCTCCTTTTCTCTCTGTCCAACGAACCTCGAGTTAAACTCGGTGGGCTCCATAGCGGCTAATTGCGAAAGCACGCGTATCATCGTGTTAAATTTAAACCGGAAATGCGACTGCGGCGTTCCGTGGTGCTCTCGTGCCACTCTTCCTCCGCGTTTCTACCGCATTCCTTCTCGCGACGCGGATAAATTTATCCTCCATTCTCGGCGACGACGCGCCGATCACGAATCGCCCTCGATCGCCGTCGATCAGCCGCAGCTCGCATTTTCCTCCTCTCCCCTCAGCTTTCCTCCCTCCTTTCCTCCCAGCCTTCTCTCTTTACGTTTTACTTCTTTATTTTCGCGTCCTTATAAACCGACTCAAACAATGTTCCAGGGGTAGTCAATGATTATCGATCGCCACGCACATCGTTAATGCGTGTTCCCACTTCTTCCTTCCGCTCATCTTCGTTCATCTAAAACCTTCAGCTCGCTCGAATCGACTCGATTTTTACTCCAGATATCGTTCCTTTCCACTAGAGACAACACTTTCGCGCCCGCATCAGCAAGTCAATCGGAATGAATGGCACGAGATCTTCTATTACGTCTGATTCGCGATTCAATTCACGAAATTCTCCTCTTCCTTTCCAATATTCATCTTATCTCGTGTGGCTAAAGTGATTTCGCGAGACGCTATCGACCGTCCGCGTGCGTTTTACCGCCGATAAACGCGCCTCGGCCTCGTAAAAGCGATCCGAATTATTTGTCGATTTGCGGAGTGCGGCGAATCCACGGAAGATTATCCTTCCTCTGTTTCTCCTCGACGCTCGTCCGACTATTGTCGCAAAAATATCCTCGAGGATTGCGTCTCGCTCGTAAAAAAAAACGCTCGCGAGATATCGCCGTCGTTGTCGTCGAAACAGCTTCCGTCGCGAGCGGAAAATATATGACGAACGCCGGAAAAACCACCAGAGAAGTCGACGATGACCGCGGTATAGTAAAAAATGTCAACGCGGCGGTCGTCTCGGGATTACGGCCAAACGTCCAATTTTCCGTCACGGTTCGTGTGTGGTGGTTCGTTATCTCTTACGACGTCCCAAATAACGACTTTGTCTCGGGCGTGAGATTAATTAATCTCGTATGAAAATTCTCGATGATCAACGATAGAATCAAACGATATCGGAATTACTCTGGAAGCAAACCGTTCGTGAAAATAATTCTGGGGAATTATCACGACGTTCTACTTTCTTTGTCGTGGAATATATATCGTGCTTCATTGACAGAAAAGAGTTATAATGCTCGATAGCCAGCTCTCGACATCGGTAGTCCAGATCGTATTACATTCCGATTCCCGAAAAATCGAGATCGCGCGCTATTCGAGGATCGATCGACGAAAATCAATCGAGGAAAAATGCGGATTTTATGCGGAAATTACGGCGACGATCTTCCGGCCGCGATTCTCGCCGTCCGTTCTCCGCGGGCCGAGGAGGCGCGCTTTGGCAAGACACCACGGCGTCTCGAAAATAGCAGAACGTTTCTCTTTCCTTCCCTCTCCCTCTCTATGTCTCTCTGTCTCTCTCTGTCTCTCACCCTCTTTCCTCCCTTCTTTCTTCTCGTTCCTTCCGATCGCGTTCCTTGCGCGTGCGGAATCTGTTGCCGTCACGCGTATTCGAACCGGAGGCGCGATATTCTCGATAGAGAAAGAACGACGGAGGAGACAACGTGGACGAGAGACGCGAACAAAAACCGAAGCGACCGACGGCGATTCGCGGATGACGCCGATAAGAAGAGAACCTGGACCAGCCGCAATCCACCGAGCGTAACGTCGCGTCACCGCGGCACCGCTTTGCGCGAGAGACTGAGAGAGAGGCGCGCGCGGCGCGCGACTCACCCGGGTTGAGGAAGAGCGGCGAGGGGGTGGCTGGCACTTCGGAGGGAACGAGAGTGTCGCAAAGCCAACGCGCGCGAGCGAGAGAACGAGAGAGTAAGAGAGCGAGAGTGCAAGAGAACGAGAGAGAGAAATCGGTAACGAGAGAGAAAGAAACAGAGAGATATCACGCTTTCTCTCTCGATGAAGGTAAAATCCTGACGAGAGTGAAGAAAACAGAAACTTTCGATAAGCGGCGAGGGGGTAAAGATAGAAACGTCACTATTATCGAAGGGTGTTACAGAGGGAGATGCAGAAGCTAGGACAATGGCGAAAGAGAGAGAGAGGGGGGGGAGGGGGAGGAACAATCGGAATGATCGGAAGGAGATGGCGAGACACAGAGAACAGTAGCAGAAAACGGAGATGGGTGATAACGGTGAGGAGGATAAGGAAAGGAGGGAGGGGAGGAACGTGTATTGGCCGAGTGCACGCGTGCGCGTGTCCGTGTGTACTCGAGAAACCGCTGGTCTAGAGGATTGTGTCAATTCGGGTGGGTTTCTACCCTGGAAATTACTTCGGCGAAGTTTAAACATCTACATTATTATCGAAATTTCCTACTCGTTATGCGAAAAAAAATGGAAAATTCAATTTCCCATCGAGCAACAACGCACAAAATCCGATCAAGGGAAAAAGAAGCTGACGATATCGATGATAGAATGATCGTTTTGATAATGGTATTAGAACGAGCACACGGCTAAATCGAATTCATCATGCGCAGTAACCATTTGTTATTCGAGTGACAATCGAGTTATAAAACCTATCCGATAAATGTTAAAGGTATTGTTTAAAGGTATTGTGCCCGAGGGCAATGTAGTTTACAGCATGGAAGCCTGTGTTTGTTTTAAGTCCAGACTCTATATTCGAGAGTTCGATCTAAAGCTCTGTCACACAATCACGTCCTCCGGTATTCGCTGTTGATGGATTCTCCGTCTCGACGAGAGACGAGGACGTCACACCATCGTTCGTTTTTTTCCCCCCCGTTATACACAATTGCAACAGGCGAGATTGAAATAATTTCTGCGTTCCTCACGCAAACGCGTCGTTCCGCTCGCGTGCAATTTCGCGCTTCCAACAACGACGAAATACCAAAAAAAAAAAAAATAAATAAATAAACAAACAAGTGGAGCAACTCGTTTTTGTTTTCCCTCCTAAATTTTATCCTGAATTTTCTCTCCCTTAGATTTTCTCATTCAGAAAAAGGGGGAGGGCGACCTTTGCGGGGATGTCTCGCGGGGTGCGAGCGCTTAATCGTTAATCGGCAAGAACGGGGCAAAAGCGGGGTGAGAAAACCTTCTTGCCCTACATTCGTGAGTTGGCTGCTCCCGTAAACCAGTGCAGTCGGCACGCGTGAGCGTGTGCGCGCGCACGTGCAACCGAGTGCGAATGGTGTCTATGACCCATATAACACGCCCAAGCGTAACTAGGTCGTGCACCCCTGTATTCCCTGGGATAATACAGGGTGTCCCGCCTCAAAAAAAATGTGCCAGGGTGTATCGATTCGCGAGGATCGTACGCACACGCGATTTCATCTAAAGGGGGAAAAAAAAAGCTTCGAGCTTTTCGAGCGACGAAAAGAAGCGCAACGTCGAGAAAACTGGACGGTAGCTTCCCTCA